CAGCTTACGGCACTTTTTCGCCCGAGTTCACCACGGATAGTGGTGTTCGTCACGGTTGTCCTCTCCTTTTCAATCTAGCTTTGTTATAGATTGGATTATGGAAACATCCCTATCCTCGTGCGAGGGTAGCGGCATCGATTCGCTGGTAGATTGAAGACTGCCTGATCTAGAGTATGCAGACGACACTGTGCTGCTAAGTGAAGTTGCAAGCATTTTTGAATAGCTTGAGTGTCAGCGTAGCCATGTTCGATCACGTTTTCCACTTTCAAAGTGTAAAATGCTACTTCAAGACTGGTTTGGTCCCGCACCCAGCCTCACACTAACTGGGGAAAAAACAGAGCAAGTGGATAGGTTTTGCTATCTGGGCAGCTACATCTCACCTGGGGGACGCATAACGAATGAAGTGTCAGCTCGCATACAGAAGGCTCGATTGGCATTTGCCAACCTGAGACATTGGTGGCACCACCGCGACATCCGGCTGTCTGTGAAGGGTTGTGTATGCTGCGCAAGTTCGGTCAGTTCTGCTATACGGAGCAGAAACATGGCCATTAAGAAAACAGGATGAAGACAGACTGTCGGTGTTTGAATATCGCTGTCTACGCAGCATTGTGTTCATCAAGGGTGCCCTATTTCGCCATTCCTGTTCAATTTCTTCATAGACGAAGTACTGGAGAACGCACTTAGTGGTCTCCAAAACGTATGTATTGAATGGGCAGCTGGAGAAAAGCTGTGCGGTTTAGAGTACGCCAATGACATCGTATGCCTGTTCGAACCTATGGAGGATGCGCAATGCGCTCTAGACAGACTAGCAAGTTATGTATCTCCTTTCGGCATGCGCTTTGCGCCTTCAAAGTGCAAAGTGATGCTACAGTGACTGGGTGTCGTTTACCCCAGAGCTGATGCTTGATGGTCAAGAATTAGCTATAGTGGAATGTTTCACCCACTCAGGGAGCTGCGCTTCAAATGACGGTAGTACAGTGAATGAAGTAACCGCCCGCATTTCCAATGCTCGAGTAGCTTACGCAAGACTGAAACACCTTTGGTGCATACGCGATGTTTCGTTGAAGCTGAAAGGTCGCGCATACTGCGCCAGTGTGCGGTCAATTTTACTCTGTGGTTGCGGGACCCTAAATTTGCGCGTGAAAGATATTCGTCTTCTAGAAGTACTCGACTGCAGATGTAGTTTGGCGCGGGTTAGATGGAGCCAGAGTGTGAGCAACTCAGATAAGTCGTCGGGTATTTGGTAATGATTCGATGGAGAATTCATTGTCCCATCGAATTCAGATTAGTCGGCTTCGCCGGTTAGGACACCTATTGCGCATGCCCAGCCATCGTCTGCCGCACCGCGCCCTATTGTCAGTTGCGGCTCCAGGTTAGAAGAAACCACGTGGAGGTCAACAGACGACATGGAGACGAGGCATGAAGAGATGCACAGAGCGATTAGGTAGAATCGGTGTCTCCCGTGTTCCAGGTTGAGGTCCAAAAGACGCTGCAACTGGCTGGTTAGAGACACTGAAGGATATGGCGACTAACCGACCACAGTGAGGTTCTTGGTGTCATTTCTTATCAGTTCAGAATGCCTGAAAAGGTATCTATGCACACTTAGGTTGTGTACTCTGTGTTGACCATTCACTTTCCTTGCCTCCCTCCAATGAGGCCCAATCCCTCTCCATTATGTGCTTTATCACTTGATTTGTGTACACTGTGAGCCTGGCAGCGATCAGTGAGGTTTGCTTCACTGTATCTCGCTGTACGATGATGATGATGAATCTGGTGGGATAACCAGACAAGCAGTGCAGAGGTTCGGCGCAGGGTTTTAGGTATTCGCGGGGCGGTCGTGGTCGACCTCCATAGATTACGCTGGTTGGGGCAGTGTTACGCATATTACCCATTAGGTTGCCACAGCGAGCGATTTTTGTCGAAGGAGGTAACGGGTGGAATAAGCCAAGAGTGGTCAAACTAAAACCTGGCACGAGGGTATGAAAACCTTAACCAGGAGTCTGGGTCACATAGGTCCTGTTAGGCTCCTTGGGTGGGGACCTCGAGATGATTGTAACCAGGGGTTAGAGACAAAATGACATGGCTGTGTCGTAAACAACGGCGTTCGCGCATCTTCTCCACTTCCTTGCAACATTAATCCACTGAAAGTTTCAACTTTCCTTTATTTCTTCTACTGCTTCATCCAAATGGGATGCCATAAAACAAAACAAAAACAGTGCAGGAAAGTGCATGGTAAATAGTTGTTTAAACTGAAAATGAGTTCCATTGTATCCGCAAGACACGCTTGCTGACCCACCTGCACCGGTGCTCAGGTTGATGGTCGTCAGATTCAGCGGTTGATGAGGCTTCAGAGTCTGCAATATATTTTGTGGTAAATTACTTACAGTGCTATTTGGCAACGACCTTTGGCAGGTGACATCCAAATTGCTTGGTGGGCTGTTAGAGATCGGAAGAGCGGGGTAAGGGGAGAGGTCTGGGTACGAAGACAAATAACTGAAAGAAGATTGGGATACAGTTCATTCCAGTTGATTTTGTTCTCCGGGACCGCTAGCCATTAGTCGCAACAGTACATCTCTCCAGATTTGCGTTCTTTTCCTCTTTATACCTTCATTTTCTATGCCCCCTGTCTATTTCTTTGCTCAATCTCCTTAGGAGATGCACGTTTTTCTCTCACAACCTAATAATCACTCACTTCAGAGCTCTAAACCCTTAGCCCCAGTGGATGGTCTGACCAGTTCATGAGTCTGCAAGCTGTAAAACCATTCGGACTGGAGCCCTGCGAATAGGGAGTCCCTCCTAGTCGTTGTATATTATTTGTTTAATTGGAGAAGAGTTCTGTCCTCTTATTGTCGTAGCACCAGGGGATCGAAGGAGCTTATCAGTACAAGAAACTGGACAAACTGGCACGCCGCTGCTACGTCCTGTGAACCGACCTGAAGTAGCTCTACATCTTCGAGGTCGCATTCTTCATGTTCACCTTTCTCCAGCTTGATCATATATAGTCAGGATAAATGAGAACAATAATCATTTATTTAACAGCGTCTACTGAGGTGGGTAGTGGTCAATTAGTTAAGGTTATCATCATATAAATTCTGAGGTCACTACTTCTGATTTCGCTACTGGTACTCAACGTATCCCAAGCGGCGTCTGATGGTTTTCAGCCCCAAATGACAGCTCGCCAAACGCGAATATACTACTCAATTTAGTGGACGAATGTACAAAGAAAACGATCATCATACGGTAGTTCGGTGGACTCTCCAGAACCAACGGTGAAATTAAATCTCATAATTTTGATCGGCTACACTCGATAACGATGGAGAAACATCTAACCTAAGTAAACATTTCGAAAGCTTTCGTCCGAGTTTGGCATTTCTTATGTTTGTGTTCCCTCTGGTTCTGGAATCACGAACATTAAGCTTTATCAGTAAACGAACCATCACGTCCGAGCTGATGGGGTTCTATTTCAACCGCTCCATGAGGTTCAGTGTCTGAACCAATACTTCATCCATTAATCAATGACCTGTGCAATACTCAATCCAAATCATTCTTTTGCCGATAGCACTACTCCCTATTGCTCTTCTTACCGTACTCTAGTGGCTAATGTCATCGGATTCCGACCATAAACACTCTTGCAACTTTTCGTAAACACCAGCCTCTCCAGATCTACTTGTTTGTTCAGCCCAAACACGTTCTACAGACTGTTCTCCATCAGCTTCGTTACCAAGCTGGTTTACTTTTATTTCCCAGTTCACCTCTCGCGCTGCGTGCCAAGTTGATCTTACATTTTGCCTCTGACGCTTTTTTACCCCCAAGTTTGTCGTCTGACGTACGGAGCTGAAATTCGCCCTGTAGTCAGATCTCTTGCTCTTCTCCTGGATCGTAAACAACGGAAAGTTATCCAACTTATTCGAATTCCTTCGGTATCCCTTCCCCACCGCAAACTTTTCTTGGGTTTTTGTTTTTTGAAGATTGCTTAGGCAGTTTCTTATCTTGTATCGTTGGTTCTCCCATCCTGCATACAGGCAATAAGCTACCCTTAGATGTCATTCCTTTTTCACATTTTCCCTTTTATCTTCGAATCATTAAACTACTACTATCTTCCAGCCTTCCACTCAGGATCAGTAAAAATGCCTTTACGAGGATGTTTCATCAGACAGTATCTTTTAACTCTGAGATCTACTCTTTGTAATTTTTTTGTCGTGTCCAAAACATTGGCTAAATTTTACGCAGTTAAATGCTCATAAATAAAAATAGACAGATAAAACTTGTAGACAAAGATTAGTATTACGATTCACTGGATGAGCAACAGCACTAGTATCAAATTTTATCGGACGCTGAAAAGGAAATCCGGCACACCCCAACTAAACGTCAGATGAAACTAACCATAAGAACGGAGAACTTATACGCAAATCGGGACATCAGACCAATGCACAAACGATGAGCAAACCTGCAGGGAACGCATTGAGATTACGACTCCGTCGATCACTATCTCTGCATGTGAACCCACAATTAGTGCGTAAGAATCGCCGTTCATAATTCTTGGGGTGTATATAACACCCTATTGCAATAAGGTCATTATTTACAGAGAATATGGAGTGCAACACATGATCAGATAAGGTTGGGAAATGTCAAGTTGGATAAAGATCAAGTAAAGACTTTCCATAACCTACAAGACGTTTGCGCTCAACTGAACGCAAAACGGTTTTAAGGAAAACTTAATCGAACAACAAGGAAAGCTTCCATTGAAAGGGTTAGAGATGCTCATCTTGAAGGTGCGAAAATGACAAAATAATGCCACCGACACCTGCGTCAGTGAATCACAAATGGCATGTATTGCGATAAACCCGGAAATTAATTAAGAGGGAAACGCCGAAGCGCTCCAACTTTTGGATGTATGAATATGGAGTAACTGTAGGGATCACTGGAAAGGACCGTGTAAAGCTCCCAGCAGAAAGGTTCACAGAACCAACGAAGGGAAAGCGCTTGGTCCAGGAAGTTTATCATGTAGGACACCACGAACATGACGATTGTGAAGAATTGTGCTCCACCAGACGATGTCCCAGGGGAACACTCGGATTGTCTGCCTCACGTGGGGGCGCCTTTCGAAGTATTGCAAGCGTTAAAGTTTCAAACGCCTTAGCTACGTTAACGCCTGTTTTTGCACTTGTTTCCAGAAAGTCAACCCTGTAGTCTTTGGCCATGCACATTCCCTCTTCCAAAGAAACAGCTCTGCGGTCCTCCATATCGCTTTTATTAGCGACAACAAGCTTTTCCACGTCGGTTGAGGCGAGAGACTGAATATTGCCCATCCAACGCTGAATATTATCAAAAGTCCTCCTGCTGGTTATATCATACACGAGCATGATGCCCATCGCACCTCGGTAATAAGAAGCCGTAATTGTCTGGAATCGTTCCTGACCTGCTGTATCCCATATCTAATATGTCGTCAAAGAAGCGTACTGCTATGCACCTACCTGTAGTTTGATTTTCTTTCCTTCGAGTTCCACGGTCTTAATCTTGAAATCGATGCCGATGGTGGATATAAAAGAAGAAGAAAACGTATCCTCTACATATCTGAACAGTAAACAAGTTTTTCCAACACCTGAATCGCCAATAAGCAGTAACTTGAACAAAACATCATATGACTTCTTAGCCATTATTCGGAAGCGGCGACTGTAGCGCAAATTTCGACGGCGCGCATTCCACCGCCAAAAATCAGGTTCAGTTCAGTTCAGTTCAGTTCAGTTCTCACAGGACGAATTGTGGCTCTTGCCAATCGCGCGTCC